GGTGAAGGGCAGTGGGAGATATGTGCTTCCAGTTATGGAATGAATAAGTCAAGGAAATAAAAGGCACAGCATAGGGAATACGGTCAGAGATACTGTAATAGCCTTGTACGGTGACAGATGGTGACTATACTTGTAGTAAGTATAGCATAATGTATAGACTTGTAGACTCACTATGTTGTACACCTCTCAACTATACTCAAAATGAAAAAAATTTAAAAGGTTAAATGAAATTAAACTTCAGTTCTGCTGTTATATTAGCCACATCTCAAATGCTCAGTAACAACATGTGGCTTGTGGCTATCAAATTGGATGGTGCAGATATAAAACATCTCCATCATCACAGGAAGTTCTTTGGGCAGCACTGTTCTAAGAGGTAGGGACCAGATCTGTATTGTTATAATATCTGCCCTACATATGGTAACTACCAAGTGGATGCTCCAGAGAATGTCTTCCTGGCTTGAGCTTTATCTCCTCACACCACATGAATTAGTATCGCTAAGAATAATATGGAAAATCTTCATGAATCTATGACATTACCAGTCACTCCCCTCATTGGCTCCATGCAGGCCAGTCAGGGAACTCTCGGGGTCATAGCAGAGGGTGAGGTATTCCTGGGGGAATCTTCCCAGTGGTCTTACATCTATGTTCTGAGGCTTCTGTCATCTCCTAACTTCTAGTCCTGGTTTAGGGTCCTGGTTACATATTAAATGATAAAATGCTCTGCCTGCTACAGAGCAGCAACAAAAAAAGTTAGTAATTCTGGGAGGCTGTCATGGCTTTAGGACTGTGCCAAGTGTTTTGGAGACTATAGAAGTGCAGTCTTCTGTGTTTGCCCTCTAAAAGCACTCACCCCTCACTGGTCTTCATCTTCCCTGAACCACAGCACTGGAATCTGTAGCACCTAGGGAGGGAGCCTCCACCCCCCCAAATACACACCTTTCTCAGGGGTGCTGTATATCAGGTCTTGTCTTCTGGCTGCATTGTAAACCTTGAGGTTTATATACCTATCTTAGAGCCCTTAGCACAGGGCTGGCCAAGTGATAGACACAGATTGATAAACAATAAGGATGATTGTGGGGTACATTTTTATCCTCTTTCCTGTGTATTATAAGGGCAGCAGGTGGTATCTTTTCCAGTGATTCATACACTGTGATTGAGTATCTTGGGTATCTCTTTATCCCAAACCAATATGTTGCTCATCTTGTCTTCGTCCCCATGGGAAGAAAAAGTTGATCTGGTAACTTCTGAAATTTTCAAATGAAAAGGAATTTCTTTCCAGGACAGGTTGCTGAGTTTTGGCAGCACTGTTCCATTGTACAGCTCCAGGGGGTACAATTCACAGCTTTTTCTTATGTGAACAGCACCCCTTTGAGCTGTGTAGCCCAGGGCCCTGAGTGTCAGAACTGATTTGGTAATTCTTTCCTATGTCTTTTACAAGACCATTGTTGCTACCCTTCAGTCTGCTAGGTTTTACCTAGGAGGCTGCCAGCGTAGGTTAGGCGACTCTTCAGGGTCTTTAGGTTGTGTGATTCTAGAACACTTTATTCACAAATTCCTTGTTAAACACTGCCAGTTTCCCACTGGGCCCTAAATCATCACACTAACGGAAGTATAATGTCAGTTACATCAAGATGACTAACACTTTGATGGGAGAGGGAGAAGGGGTTGTAGGCAACTTTTCTCAATCCGAGACTGGGGAAAATAAGTTGGTTCTAAAGAGTCTGTGAAAGTCCTTCTCCCCCTTTCCTTAGCAGAGAGCAGTAGAAGTTCAGTGCCACTGTCTCACACCAAGGTGGCTCAGCCCTTTGTCTCATGCCCACCAGTTGGGCTTGCCTGAAGAGTATAAAGCAATCTGAAGAGTCTGGTTTAATGGACTTTAAGAAATCCACCTGCCTTAAAGTCTTTTCCACTGGTTAGTCCCTAACACTTGAAATGAACTAGTAGACATTTTTTTTTCTTTTGTATCAAGTAATGCTTCCTGTAAAAAGTTAAAGATGGACTTCAAGTTAATATATTAGTGTTAGAAATCAAAATAATGCTTACCTCTGTGCGGGGGGATGGTATTGACTGGGAGGGGAATAGGGAGTTTCTGCTGGGAATGTTCTGTTTCTCCATTTAGGTGTTCCATCAATAGAAGATTTATGGGACTTTACAGTTATGATTTGTATATCCTTTTGTATGTTTATAAATCTTCAAAATAAAGTTTATTTAAAACAGTTCTTAGATGATAGCCTCAGGAAGCATTCACAGATATTTATAACTTAGTTAAAACAAGGACGTGAGTTTCTTTCCAAAAGGGAGTCAGCAGTGTGCTGAGACTACTGGAGACTGAGGGGGAAGAGCAGGTGACAATGGAGAGAAAGGGCAGATTTGTCCTCCTTGAGCTTCTGTCTGGGGTTCATTCTGCCCTGGTTCTTCTGGGAACAGAGTACAAGCCCCCAGTGAATTGGATACTTTTTTTTCAAGTCCATTCCCTATTCTTCTTCAGAGATCTCAGAAAGGTCAGCAGGTTATAGGAAAGATTGGAATGAAGAGTGCCTCTTCCAGAACTGGTAATAGGAGAAGGTGATTCTCTTGGGTGGTTCGCTTCAGGAAAGCATGGAGCCAGTCCTTTGTTTGGAAAGCAAACCATAAGCAGCGAGTTCTTCCAGTGTGACCTGGCTCTGGTTAGGTGAGAAGAGACCAATAACCCGTGGCCACCTGGATACTCGTCTAAAGCTCCGTGTTTATATGTTGGTGGAGAGAGGAGTTCGGCTGGGATATCTTCTCCCCTCACTCTCCCCCAAACCAGTGGCTGCCTCTTCATCCCCTCTCCTTCTGTGTGACCCACACAGGGGGTCCGCACATGTGAGCAGGTGTCCTGTTTCCCCTCCAGCTGGTGGGTCAGCCAGCTCTCCTAGGTGTCACCATCCAGCTTCAGAGAAATACTTAGACTGAGTAGGTAATATCTGGGTGCAAGGCTGGCCTTGTGGAAGAATGCAGATGAAAGTAAGCCTTTAGGAAAGTGCGTGTTTGGCTTTCGGGCATTCTCATTCATGTTGCTCATAAATGGTTATTATGTTCTCAGCCGGAGCCCCATCTGTTTTTTCTGTACCACCTGGGTCCAAAATTTGAGGTTAAAGAAATACTAATGAATCCTTCTTGTTTTTTTTCTTCAGGGACATCCATATTGGGTTGATAGCAGTTATACAAAGGGACCCCGCCCCAGCCTTCCCTGAGGAGTCTTTGAGTCCTCCTTGTTTCCGTGGAACAAATGAGCTTTATCAGCAACAGGCTTACATTCTCCTCCTGTCCCTGCTCTTTGTCTCAGAGTAGAAATGGAACCAAATCTCAACACTGTGCAAGTCTGTTTGCAGCTATTTTATTACAATCTGGATCTTGTCAGTTCTTTATGTCCCATGGGATTCCTCAGGGAATCCTCAGGGAAAACACAACCACCTTGCATCTGTAAAGTACTTTGCATGGCACTTTTATAAGCCTTAGCTCATTTGATTCCTCGAACAGCCCTATAAAGTAGTAGGCATTTTTTTTTTTTTTTTTTACAGGTTGGGTAACCTCCTCAAAGTCACATAGCTGTTCTTATGACAGCCAGTAATGTGTGCCTTTTTTTTTTTCCTGTTCCCCTTGTTATTAAAGGTATTTCAAAGTCAGTAATCAAAACAGGAAGCCAATTTTGAGATTTATGTTAAGATCTGGTTATGTTACTGGTCCAACGAGGCAAACATTTTGGATAGACATCCAAGTCAGGGACTGTCCATAGAGAGCAGCCTCCTTTCATGGAGCCCCTCTTGGCCTTTTGAGTGTGGGGGCTGCTCAACTAGTCTTCAGGCTCATCCACAGAGCAGGGCGGTCCTGGCTTGCTGAGGTATGGTGAGGGGGCTTGGACTTGGAAGCCTTCACAATTTCCCCTAAGCTCCCAGTGTTTCCAGGTTTGCTTTTGTGAATGTCTTCTCACTGAATGGCTTTATTGACCCTAATACTTGAAATGACATAAAATCTGGAAAGAGACTAATGATAGTTAAGACTATGAGCCAGACCCTTTTCTAAGAGCTTTGCATATATTAACTCATTTGGTTTTCATAACAAGCCTTGATTATCCCCATTTTTCACTTGAGAAAGCTGAAACTGAGCAAGTCATTTGCCCAAGGTCACAATGCTCCTAAGTGAAGGATCGAAGCCAGTTTAATTCCAGAGCCTGAGCTCCCGATCACCTCAGTGTGATGCCTTAGGCAGATCTTCTAGGCAAGTTCTTTTTTTCATTAATATAAAATTCAGATCCTGAGCCTTAAGTCCAGCCTAGGAGATCGTTGGCAAAGGAGTTTTCTAAACATCTCAAATTGGCACTAAGAAATTTTCCTTCTAGACTTGACATCCAGAAAGAGTGATTCATCAATGGGCTTTTTCCAGCATATTGCTGATTCCCATATCTGTGAATGAGAGTGCCCCCCTCCCCCGGAAACTGACAGAGGACTTTGCACTGTGGACTCCTGGAAACTCAGTCTCAGATTTCTTTGTTTCCATGAGAGCATTGTGGCAAAAACACTTCAAGCAGCTGTGTGAACGTGTAGCTGGATGACCCCCTACAAGTAAATGTTCCAAAAAATTGTCAGTGGAATATGGTATATAGGTACCAACTCCATAATAGGGCAACTGGAAAGCATTGGTTCTTAATTTAAGATTCATAGATAACCCAGCAATGGGTTTTGGGGACAGGGGAATGAACCTGCCACATTTTGGATACATGTGTATAGGTACACTTTTTTCACTGGAATCTCAAAGGGATCTATGACGTAAAAACTTTGAATAACTATGACTATGTAGACATATCATTAACTTATTTATGTGTAGCTTTTCTGTGAGATAAGATGGCAGATTCTGAAAGCACTGGTCTTACGGGTTTTAAGGGGTCATCACGATCTATGTAATTTTCACTTTACTAATTTTCTCCGCATAGATACAGAAGTGATTCAAATAGACCTTTGTATTATATATATTTACAGACTGGGTTTTTCCGTCTACCAAATGGAGACTTCTTCATTGAGCCCATCAAAAAGCATCCCGTGGCTGAGGGAGAGTACCACCCACACATCATTTACAGGAAGCCGAGGCAGAGAGCTCCAGAGCAGGAGGAACAAGCCTGTGGATTAAAGGGTATTGTGACTTAAATCTCTTCACCGTATTGAGGAGTCTGTTTTGTTCCATTATTGTTCTATTACAACATGACCTGTTCTTTTTTTCTTCTTTTTTTTTGTTTAAGATTTTATTTATTTGATGGAGAGAGACACAGCGAGAGAGGGAACACAAGCGGGGGGCGGGGTGGGAGAGGGAGAAGCAGGCTCCCCACTGAGCAGGGAACCTGACTCGAGGCTCCATCCCAGGACCCTGGGATCATGACCTGAGCCGAAGGCAGACGCTTAATCATCTGAGCCACCGGGGCACCCCACAAGGTGACCTGTTCTTATTCAAATCTCTTATCGCCTCCCCCTTCCTGTTGCCACAAAGTATGTGCCTTTGTAGGAATAATTTCACTTCCTTGGCACATCTTTGCCACATTAATTGATGATATTCACATGATATTCATAATGATGAATTGTTTGTTTTTAAACTTTTGAATCCCCTAGAAGATGATCGTTTAAATTAAAGACAATGAGTTTTAGTATTAGCAAAGTTAAAATACTTTAGTGTGGAATGTTACCAAACTGCTGGTCGTATCGGTGTATGGAAGGCAGATTTCAGTGTGTGATGATGCTGATAATGATGTGTGAAGAGAAACTGAGAGAAATATCAACACATTATCAGATGATGAATTTAGCTAAGCTTCTTTTGGCTGCCTTCGGTTTGCAGTTCACTGACGTAGGTTTCATGCCCCTCCGCTCGAGAGTGATCTGAACTGGTCCTCTCTGCCTTGTACAAAACAGTTTCAGATAGTTTTCAGAGGTGAACTCACCCAAGTTGTTTCCTTGCAATTCCCACATTCTCTCTTGACTTGTAGGAGATATGATCTATGCATAAAAGGCCACTGGAAATTGGGACATTTTCTTAAATATTGTATAGTTTCTTCCTTTTTCAGAGAAAAAAATAATGGGCCAGGGAGACAGTTAACAAAAGGAATCCATAATATTATTTGTATGTCTTAAGGATTTGGGAGCCATGGGCCTCAGTGGGAAAATAAGAGAGTGAGAGAATTAGGGCAGGCGGATTCTAATAAAGGTTTTGGAGGACTCAGAACTTTGCAAGCAGGAGAAGGAGAGGTCAAGGGGACAACTAATTTCTCTATAGACTTCACCCAGACCCTGGGAGAGATGGTAACTTTCCTGGGAATTTCTTTTGTAATCTTAGCAGAGTATGTAAACAAGAAGACATTTTGAGTCTATAATGTTTCCTGTACACAAAAATGGACAGCTGCTTACATTCCTTAACTTTAGGAAGCTATTCTAACTTTGCCCTAAATTAGATAAGGGACTATCTAAATCTCCTGCCAAGAGCTAAGAGAAGGGAAGAGATTCTTCTTCTGGATGGTCTGACTGATTAAGTTACCAATCCAGATAACTTAGTCTCTATGTGAAATTTTAGGACTCTGATCTAATCACTTGAAGAATTTCCCAATTCCTACTACACATTGGATGATGGGATAACACTTTGTATGTGTGATTCATTCTTTTTGAGATCACTGGGTCATCAACATGGCAGAGAAAGTTATTAGGGCAGTGAGTGAACTTGGCCAGAGTTGCTTCTGTAGCCATGGTTGTGCTGTGAAATGAGTTAGGCTATTCCTCACGCACCCACCTTGAACACCTTCTCTGTTGAGATAGACTTGATTAATAATAAACTGAGAATGGCACATATTTCGTCATAAAGGCAGAAGGGATGGATAGGAAAGGAGTGAGGTTTACAAATGTCATGTCCCCGTTAGGTCACACACCATACCTCAGCCTTAGTGCTTGTCATACCATTTCCTTACTCATTCTCCACCAACCCTAAGACTTACCTTTACTTTGGAAACTTCTTGGATTGATCCCATTTGGAACAGTCTTTGCATTGTGAATTTCTCCACACATATCTTCTAAAAGATACTCTCTTATAAACTTGCTTAAAACCTCACAATATCAGAATTAAATAGCTAGGTCTGTTGGAAGGACCTTTAAGAGCGCCCAATGCAGCCCATTTTTTTTTTTTTACCAAAGAAGCAAGTGTGACTCAGAGAAGGGAGTGAACTTTCAAAACCATCAATGTAGTAGGTGTTCAGAATATAGCCAAGCTTAGAAGTCAAGGTTCTGTTGTACCTAGGGCTTTATACTCCCTCATGGTTATTCTTTATGTCTTCTTTGAATACATAAATCTTGTTTTATCAACTGTCTTGAAAGCCCCATTAAAGTAGGAATTCCCTTCCCAAACAGTATATACCATAGTGTAAGGTGCAAAGCAGAAGTTTAGTAAATCACTAGAATGAAACGAAGAGTGATTCATAGCCAAATAGATGAGACTAGAGTATACTAGCCTCTCGTCTACATAACACTGATAGAAGGAAAAAAGAAATGTGGATTTCCTAGAAGTTGAGAAAATGTCACTTGTTTGTGACCATCTCTGTACCAAGCATGATTTAATGCCTAAATGAGAGCTAGAGATTTAAGAATAATCTAATGTGCTTGCGAATATTCTTAAAATATAAGTGACATTTGGATTTTATAAATCTTGGTGTATTGAAATGGACTTGGTCTTGCTAAACAAGGTAATTGCGCTGTTCTTATACCACGTTACCCTGCAGAGATGATGGACTTAACTGACAGCGGCCCTGTCGTTAGCCAACATTACCGTACACTTTATACTTAGGTCAGTTGGTGTTTCAAAGTTGAATTACTGTGATTATATCAAGAAAGATCCCCTTTACTTGTGTAAAATGTTCTGTCTTTGTCATGTTTAAAGCAGGAACCCCTTTGGTATTGAAAAAAGATGTACTTTAAAAGTGCACTAGTCATTCAGGATGGAAAATGTGTCAATTACTTCCCTCTAAAATGTGTCCCTTTACTTGTTGATCTCCCACGTAGAAAGGTGTCCAGGAGTTTCACGGTGGGTCCCTTATTAGTATGGTCCAGAAGTTCACTTTATTAAACTCTTCAGAAGTTCATTTTATTGACAATGACAATTTCCTTTAGCTGAAGTTTTTTTTTTTTTTGTCGAGGATATAGTGGATATTAGACGGAAGTATCCAGGGGAACTATGGTTTTAGGAAGCTGGGGAAGGGAGTTCACACTAGTCAGATCAGATGCTAACAGCTGCGGGGTCATCTATGGCAGAAAGGGGTCCGGGCAGGTAAGATCAGAGTTTGGAATTTCATGCATTAGGACTTTAGGCTGGGAACATGGGGTCTGGTTCCTGGCATGCATTTTTGTGTTCAAAATTTATTCATTCAACAAATATCTATTGGGTATATTCTTTATGGCTGGTGCTCTCCTAAGTTCTGTGGGTTCATATGTGAATAGGATATGATTCTTGGTCTTTAGAGTTGACAGCCTAGATATAGGACATGGGTAAGTAGGGATCCGGTCCAGGGTTTATCTTTATAGTGTATGGTAAGACCATGAAGGAAGATGGAATCTTAAGGCATGTATCATGTTTTTTGCCACTGCATTATGTTTACACCAGGACATGTAGCTGTAATTCATTTATTTTCCCTGCTGTGCTATATTCTCCATTATGTGAATCTTCCATTTGATCCAGTATCCTGTGAGTAGATCTGAACTGCTTCCAGTTTGGAGCTATTATATATTATGTTGTAAAGAATGTTCTTGAACATGTTTCTTAGGATTCAAGTCCATAGGGTTATCAAAGACATATACCAAGTGGTGGAATGAGTTTCTCATAGGTTATATACATCTGGCTTTACTGGATGATGCAAACTTATTTTCCAAAGTTGATGTTCAATTGTGGTGAGTGAGAGTTCCCGTTGTTCCATATTCTGTCCAATACTTGCTATTCTCACTTTTAAATTTGGTTGGTCTAGTGGATATGAAGTGGTATCGCTCTATGCTTAATGTTGAACTTAAACATATTTGTTATGGAGTTGGGCCCTAAATCTATGGCTTGTGGCTATAGATTCTCCAAGAATAGTTTTCTCCCCTGAACCCAGAGTGGAAGCCCAGAGAACCAACTTTAGGTTTGCTTACTTGTTTCTTTGTTTTCTGGTTCACTTTTTCACTTAGTCTCTGATCTGACTTTTAAACTTGTCTTTTTTTTCCTCCAGAGCAAAAGTAGCGAGCAGCAGATACCCCGGTTCCGCAGCTAGCCACGCGTATCAGTCGGAGCTCAGCCAGTAAAGCAGAACCAGTAGGAGATATATATGAGGAGATTTACTACAAGAAATTGATCACCACAGTAGTGGAGGCTGGCTAGACAAATCCCAAATCCAGGGACAGGCCGTCAGGAAAGGCAGGCTGCAGGTGTCAGGCCTAGGCTGAAGTAGCTGACCAAGGCAGAATTTCTTCTAGAAAGTCTCAGCCCTACTCTTAAGGTCTTTCAGCTGATTAAATCAGGCTGACAGATTATCAAGAATAATTCTCTTTACTTTGGCTTTACTAAAGTCAACGGATGGAAGGACTTTAATTTACTTCTGTGAGACACTTTCCACAGCAACACCCAGATTAGTGTTTGTTAGAATACTGGAGACAGCAGACTAGCCAAAGTGACACAGAGAAAAGATCATCACGGTCCATCTTTTGCTCTTCTCTCTGCATTTCTGCTTACTTGTATTTGTTTTTCTTTTTTCTCTTTTTGGCCTCTGAAGATTTCTTCCCTTTTTCAATGCTTATCAGGGGCTTACTACTGGGAGAGTTTTTCAGAGTGTCTAGTCTACCATATTGCGAGATATCAGTCTTGAGTAGATTTCTTATTTGAAGTCATTTGGAAATTTTTGAGTTGCCTTTTAAATGGCACGCACAGACATTACTAAATACTAACAAATGTTACAAATGTTATAACATTAACAATAGCTCATTAGAATAATTAGCACATCAGATCACTAATCCATGTAGTATGTGCAGGGGGCTTGTTCAGATTTTTGGAAATCCATTTAGTTGATTCTAAATCACTGCCATACTCCATGCTGGTTCTAAAGCACACAAGTTTTTTGTTTGTTTGTTTTGGCTAGCAGCAAA